TAGTTCGGACGTTGTCCCTTATTACGCTACCGCATTATCTTAAAACTGCCAAAGATAGTTCAGGCTTTAACCCATCGATTCTATCAGTTTTTCATATCAAAGCGTTGGTCTTTAGAAAAAACACTCTTTTCGACTTTTATTCAGGCTACGTGCTTCAACTATAAAGATAAGTCTGAAGAGCACAGATAAAGACATTCTAACTTTTCGGCAAAAACATCACAAGTTAATAGATAACTCTTACAAGTAAATTAATTAACAGTTTCCGATTTTAAAGCTATTGTCTAAAGTAGAGAGAAAAGAACAATGCTGGAGGAAAAAACCGTAAAGGCACTAGAGACGTGTTAGAATTATAGTAATGTTAGTGATTCCTTCAAGTCATTCTTAACCCAACGAGAAAAGTCATTCTTAGAACTAAACGTATCAAATGAGTTTGGTTTTGAGACGAGATAATCGACTGCACTCTTTTGTTTGAATTTTCGAAGCATCACGTTGTTGCTCAGTAGCTCAGGCCTCCGAAATACACACACAAAAGATACGTCGGGGAAGAGAGGAGAAAAAAAGGAAAGGCTTGTGTTCATCAATTATTCTTTTTTCCCCTGCAGTGTGGGTCAGGAGAACCCCGGAATTCCATTCGGGGACAACTTTACGACTGAAGCAAAGCTCGGCACCGCAGACATAGCGGTGTATGCAGATGGACGTCAGGACTTATCTAACGATGATTGAAGCTGGCGTCACAGCTACTTCCCCACTTAGTTTTATTATTCGTCTAGTGAACTCTTTCGCTTCATTCGGAACGTGCTGCGTATATATCCTCTCCCTCACTTCCCTATTGCTTCATTTAGGAGTTGAAAATCTACTGGATGAATCCTTTAATTTTTTAAGAGTTCCAAAAAGCTATTGTAAAGAATCGACAATGCTTAATTTAGAATTCTACAACTCGACTATTGAATAAAGATAAAAAAAAAGGCGTTTCCCAGCTTCATTATCTCCGCTGTAAATATTTTTATAAAAAGTATGTATGCATGTGTATGTATATACAAAAAGTATATAAAACGTACAGTACATCCTGTTATACATTTTATTTGTTAAAAATGCTTTAATTGATATTTGTAATTACTCTAAAATGTTTTCAAATAAAGTTTATAATCTAAAACACGATAACATTTTTTGAATTATAGTTTTCTATAGAACTTACTTTAAGCGAATACTTAAAAATTTAAAGGATTCATCCAGTAGATTTTCAAGTCCTAAATGAAACAATGTGAGAATTATCTTTATTCGAACCAGAAAAATAAATAATTAATTAATAAAATTTCGTAAAATGCTTCCATATCAGTGTAATAACATCAAAAATTTGTAATTTTATAATTTAATGAAGCATCATACGCAACAGATGCTGACCCTTGGGAGCCATTTCGTAGTTCAGAAATCTCAGACTATTATCTAAGAGAAATAATCTGCAATTAACATTAGAAATCACGATTTCGGTTTAAGATCTAACTTATTCCTACTTTTCGTAAGAAAGTAGGCATTAATTCATGCTTTAGATTTATTCTATTCTTTAAGTGGCTTAAGTTGAAGCCGATAGATCGGTATCAGTATTAGAAATTATTTATACAAAATCATTGATTACAAATGAGATCAACTCATTTGTATGGTGCCAAAATGTTTAGAGCGAAAATTTCTATAAATTTAAAGCTGTGTTAGGCCCTATGTAAATTAAATCTCTCGAGGCATGAAAAAGATATTAATTTAAAACAGAAAATATTTTCTTCAAATGAGTTTTTGGAGATCTACTTGGATGCTATGCTCTAATGAAAATTTATGTTTCAAACAACCATTCACAATAACACAATATTTTATTTCTTTTATTTGAGATGAGAGAGAAAGAGAGGGTATTTCCCTAGAGTCGAACTTAACAGATGCATGAGTTTTTAACAGGGCACAACTTGTTGCCGGTCAAAAATCACCGAATTAAAAGTCGTATACAATTTGCGAACTTTTGCAATCCCAGCAGGAGATACGACAGACCAATTTGAATGATACATGACTGGATTCTGCATCTAGATTTTAATCTCGGGAGGTCTAATTTGACAGCCCTTGCCTTACTGATTAATTTATACAAACTTTCGTTATACCTGCTTATACATACTCTACGATATACCTGCTTTGGTACAGTATGTAGCCTCAACTAAAACTCTGCTTTTCTCTATTAATTCAAATTATCCTTACTCGAAAAAAATACATCGACAAAAGTTAAAAATTTGTCAATTTTTAAATATAGCAAATAAATTTTTTTCTGTTTTCCTTCATTTTTATTAACAATCGGTCTCTCCCTATAAACTTCAAATGGGATAAACTAAGGTTTCTGATTTTGGAGTATGAAATAAATGTTCGACTCTAGAGATGTTGTAGCTGTAAATCTTAAAGATACAGGAGGAGATGGGATCAGGTTTTTTGCAATCGTCAACAGAATTGTTTACTAGGACGATTAAAGCAGAATAGAAGAATCGTGCCGGAGTTTTTTTTCCTTTATACGTATATAGGATATTAAGAAAACTGGAATAATGGAAGTGTGTTAGAGAAAAGGAAGACTTCCATATTCAACCGTGAAAAGAAAAGGCTTAAGGCAGAAAAGAACTATATGTAAATGAGGAAAAAAATAAAGATAAAAAAGAATTCAAGAAGTCACGGCTCACGATAAAATTCTCAAAATAGAGCCTAACATATTTACTCTTGTACAGTTTATAAAGTCAACGTTCACGACATCGATTTAACAAAGACTGAAGAAAGAAATAAATCTCAGCTAGAGAAATTTTTAAACTTCGATATTGTTTAAAAATTTTCGCGTAATATTTTAGAGTAAAACTATAAAACTGGCGAGAAGCTATTGCATTTAGGCGTTTAATGTCATCGTGTTCAGTTTTATGAGCCAAATCTAATGTGAATTAAAATGGTTTTAAGATAGAAGCACTTCTCTAGTAATTCTGATCATGTTAGCATAATAGAATTACAAGAAATCGAGAAAGTCGATTACCGTTACACAATGAATATATTCAATAGCTTACAACTACACGATATGGCCTAATCCAGCAATTTTCATTAGAAAAATAACAATAAGTTACTATTAAATTTAATAATAAAAAGTCAATATATATTTTTATTTTTTTAATACTTAAATTATCTCAGATTTAGATAAACAAGTAATAGTTATCTATGATAGCTCAAACTTGGAATTAATTCATTGTACGATTTACAGAAAACAATAATAATTCCACTTAATAAATCATAAAATTAATATTTATAACTGAAATATTTTATTTATTATTATGAAAAATAAAGAATTAATTTTTTATCAGTCCATTGAAACAAATGACGTTGAAAAATTAAAATATTGACAAAATTTTTCGATTTACGAAGTTAAATTATAAGCGTATAACGTGTGTTCATCAACAGGTGAAAATTATGATAATTAAGAGATAATTAGGACTATAAACAGTTAAAGTAAATATATAACATAGTCGAATTAAACTTAATGTTATAGATAGGCGCAAAAAAATAAAGTAAAATATAAAAACTAAATATAAAATTTTGAAATAGAAAATTTATATCGATATAATTAATGTGTACATGCCTTAATTGAGTTTAATTAAACAAATCAACGATTTTAAATAATTATTATTTTTACAATCTGCTATGGATTCTATTTTGAAACTTGACGTGTCAATAAAGGATATAATCGAATAATTACTCGAGAAGTCATGAATGATTTTCAATCAAAATAATGTCTGTTATGGATGATAAAATGTTCTTAACAAAAATAAGTTATTCTAATAAATTTAGATTAGGAAAAATTTCAGATAAAGCTTATGGTTAAATTTCCAGATAATATAAATCGTAGGCGTTAGATTTAAATTTAATGAAAATTCTATCTCATATATTTAATCTCGAGCTTAATTCATGTGAAAATTAAAATTTTAATATCTAACTTAAAGGTGCCATCGAAAATTTATTTATTTATTTTTAATCGAGTAGCATTTAAATTTTAAATGATTGTTATAATGAAGTACAGAACAACTTTTTAAAGTAAAATTTTAAACAATGTTTTGTTTTTAAATTATAATTTATTTTATTTCATTTAAAAATCGCTAATTTAAGAGATAAAATCTACAGTAAATTATTACACAACAACCTGTATTTATGGACTAAAGTAAAATATTTAACTTTTTACTACAAGAAATAGCGCATTGCTTGTTGGTTATTCGATTATCTACAAATCTATCGCTACGAATTATCAAAAAACTAAATATAAAATAAAAGAAAACAGAGCAGAAATTTTTATAAATAGCTTTTGTTTCCATTCATTAAAGGCATCGCCTATATATACAATAGGCAATCACAGCAGAACGTGGCCCTTTCGTCATTGCGTTTGATTACGCAGAGAAAGAGAAGACAGAATTGACGTCATTAGATCTAAACCGAAGCTAACTCGTTAAGCTTAATTCAGTAAAGGCAACAGCAAAAGATATAGCGTTGTTGCGTCGAGCTCTTGGCTCTTCCCAGCTCGCCAACACGCCGCTTATCCGGATGACATTGGTAAATGAATGCTGTCAGGGTTAGGCAGGCACAGCCGCGGGCTTCCGCACAATTTGAGTCGCCTTGTTGAGTCGCTATTGTCTGCCTGGACCTATGTTAGGTCGGCTAAACGCTGGGCTAGTTAATTACCGAAACAGGGAACCTTCGGGCGACTGCCACGATGGCCACAATTCCCGTCACCGCTCAAGTTCCGCTCCACTGCTTCCTCTTAATGAATAAATCTATCAAGATCGGAGTAATTGGTTAAATCTTAAACTGTGCAGGTGGGATCGGAAATCTCCTGCCAAACACCCATAAGTCAGCTCTCTGGCTCCCTTTTGGATGGATAGCGAAATAGATTTAAATTGCTTAATTCTAATGACGCTCCATCATTTAATACGGCCATTAAAATGGAAAAATCTCACCTTTGCTACTGTCTGGACGACGTTTTCCGCTTCGTCGCCTTATCAGTCACTCTGAAAATAAAAATAAAAGAAATTATACATATTTTCACGTCCTTGGGTCTAAAATTTTTTAAAACAAATAACATATTTTCTATATGAATTTTTATATAATTATCATCTAGATAAAGTTACTACGGTATATATATATATTCTATAAAATTATTTCCAGTTCTACGAGAACGTCGCCTGCACGAATCAATAACTTTAGCGTGATACGATATTGTTTCTGAAGTTTTTTATGTATAAAATTCTCGGAAAAAAGTCATTTCCGAATTTAAAAAGGGTCGGTATTTATTAAATTAATCCGAACAGAATGAATTTGCGATCTAAAGGAAGTGATACAATGTGCGGAATCCAGAATGTGAACAACAGAAAGATTTGACACCTTAAAAGGATTATTAAATCAATTATGGTATTATAACATCTGATTATGTCTGCCACTTTGTAGCGCATTACTATCTCCACACCTACAGAGATTGTTTTGGTGATAGGATCGATTATAATTGACGTCGAGTGACACAGAAAACTCGACGCCCAATCTGAATGTCTATCGGGATCATCAGTAACGTTAAAACAGGTCTTTAATAGAAAAATTAATTTCTAGAATTTATATTTTTCTACTCGACTTCTTTGAATTCTACGTTCGTGTAACCTAATAGCCTTTAAGAGCAGAATCCTTAAAGTTTGAATTGTTGGATGCACTTGAACTGGCATCCCCAGGGTTTCTGTACTTAAAAGGAGGAAGAAAAGTTAATAGTTTATCTAAGGTAGGGAGAAGCTACCTTAACAAAATGATAGAAAAACAAAAATTACAAGAGTAGTTAAAATAGTTAATGCATAAACATCTGACATTGTTGGGGTGTTTTGCTGAGTGACCGAAAGAGGATCGTGTTAAGAAATATTGATGTATTCAGGTTCAGATGCACAAAAATAGCCTATGTGGTTTTAAAGTTGCTTTGTGGTTCTGGCGTTGAGCCAAATGGATAGGGCGATATTCACAGTAGGAAATATTTCTTGTCATCATTGTGGAATGGTATTGATTTTATCATTCTAAATTAATGAGATATAAATCAAAGCAACTTTTCTTCATTCTTTTCGAGTAAGTTAATAGTCATTTGAGTTTATCAAGAAAAGAAACTTCCTTTTAATGATTAAGTTGTTAACTTCGTTTTTAAATTTACCTCGTCTCTTCATATTTAAGAGATATCTGTATTGAAATCTGCCTTCGCTTCCAATGATTTGTAATGTTACGATTTTTAAAATTAATTCGGGAAGTTCGTCGAATTATTTCTTTACTTCATTTAAAGCAATTCAGCATTTTAAAAGACTTCTTAAATCATCATTTTATAAATGTGGTTCTGTATTTCTTAATAGGATATCGGCCTTATAAATGGAATAACTGCAATAATAATTTAAATATTATCAATTTTTATACGGCTTTATTGCTTTTTCTACTGCTTGCCATTCTCAAATGTGAAAATCAAGTTCTGTTGCAACGACCCCCCTTTGAGGCTTATAAAAATGTTCAAGGTTTTTTCTGGAGTTGATTGCTGATTAAATCAAAAAATCGTATTAATTAAGTGTAAAATAATTATTTGATTCAATTAATAACTTTTATTTTAAATAAAGTTATTTTTTTATACTTTACCTGGTTTGATACGATCTTCAATATTCAATATTCTGTACGATCTTCGAATTTTCAGACTGCTTAATTCACTCGTTTGCTAGTTTATAATAATAATTAAAAAATGAGTAGTTTTAATAAATAATATTTTAAGCTAGGAAAATAGAAAGAAATAATAATAATAATATACTATACAATTACATAGCTAAATAGGCAAGTTTATTAGAGAAGAATTGAAGTTAGTAGCGTGGAACGAAAAGTTTGTCGGTAGCAAAGGAAGGAGTAGAAGACAGTTTCGTAACATAAAAGACTTTTAAGAACAAAGGAAGGACGAAGAAACAGGAGGAGGTGAAGGGTCAAGCGGCGTGACCTGTCTCGGAGTAGGAGGGTGACAGGTCCGTGACTTAACAAGCCAGTCGACAATTACACCCCTCTGTCGGACAAAGGAGGAGGAGGAGGGTGGGTTGAGGGTAGGTGCGAACGACTTACCTGCACAAGGTAACCTGTTGTTTGCAGTCGTTTCCACCTGACCATTACCAAGCCCGTAATGACAATGTCGGATCTTCGCAACAGATTCAATGTACGTTATCATTACCTGCTCTGGCAGACTACTTCGGTAAACGTTGCCTTGGGTCTTTCCAAAATGGCGTAGATCTTCAAGATCGAAATACGACAAAGTAAAATTGAAAATTTTTCATTTTCTAATTATAATTCTCTTATTTACTGGAACTTTGGAAAGAAACAAAAAGATTTTCTATTATACCAACGTTATTTTATTATCATTTTTTTTCCTCGTTCAGAGTTAAAATTGTGTATAGAACGTAAACGGGAGAGTCTATTCTTTGTATCATGCCGGTAACACAAGAAAAAGGATTAAGAGAACTTTAGATCTAGCAGAGACCAACATTCCTAGGAGCTTGTCCCCTCAGTATGACTTCACCCTCCCTATCAGTGGGGAGAGGGGAGAAGTCGGCTCGACTCTAGCCACACCTGAGACTTGCCTCCAGGGTATAGTCGGTGGGGAACGGAACAAAGGGACCTTGCCGTTCTCACGTGCACATACGTGGCTATTTCGTTAAGCTCGTACAGCGGCCTTCCGGCATACCTCTGATTGGCTGTAAGCAACCAAATTTACTTTCCCTTCCGTAGAAATAGTCTCATTGCGAACCGAATCACAGTTACGATTTGAAGCCACGCATCTTGTTAAATCTCATATTTTACACTCAGTTTTCAATAATCTTCAAGGGAGTTTTTTCATTAATGGTACTGTCGTCACCTCTTTGAGAAGTAGCGGGCATACAACAGACAAGTTTAACACAGTTTGGAAAGGTTCATTGTACGGATGACTTAAGGTCACCTCGAGCTTGCTTTCTCGACTTAGTACCCTTCTACCTGTCTCCAGGCTGACAATCAGTTGTCGGTTTGAGTTGTATAAGTACTCTCGAATTCTGTGTATATCTACATTAAGTTCTTCCATCTCCGTTTGATTGCGTATTTAAAATGTTGATATAACTGTTCAAACTTAAAATTATACTACAGAATTCATCTTTATCTTCCTGTTGGGTCATAAAACTTTTTACAAGTGTTCCTTATCATTGTTTCATTCAATAAAATTATTTAAGTGAGGGATATTAGTTAAGCATCTAGGTTTACGATATATTGAGGAAAATATGTTAAAATAATTTATTTTTAATTCTGAATTTTTAACTTCATTTTTTATCGTAAAACAATTGTAAATCAATTTTTTAAAATTATATCATAATATCTTTGATATTTTGAAGAGTATAAATGAGGAAACTCCACTTATCTACGTCTCCAATAGTAACAATCTAGTTAGCAATTGCAAGGTAGTCAGTCATGTAATTCAATATTCTTCCACGATGTGCGGTGAAGACTCATTTGGCTAACACGACAGGGAATGAGGAATTTGCCCGATGTAGGCGTAAGAGCAACTTAAGAGGTTTACCCTCTTCGGTATCGAAGACCCACCACCGTGTAGTTGAAGCATAAAGTCCACTAATGTTAGCGTCAAAGAGAATTCAATTGAATCTATAACACGTTTTTGGTTGATTATTTTAATCCTCTTATACAAATCCTATTCGATGATAGTGTAAAAATATTATTTAAATACACGATTCGCGTATTAATTTGCATGAAATATATTTTTCGACGGTTTAAACTGTAATTTGGAGTGGTGTAATAATGATTGTAAAGATAACCAATCACCGCAGAATCAATTCTATATCCTTGATGTTTGGCTCTTTCCCGAAGTGTTTTTTAGTTTTCGGAATATAATCCGGCACACCCGGTTGAAACCCTCACCCAAGGTAAGATAAGACACACATCTTGACACAAGGCTGTCCTGACCCATTCATCACGAGGCCTCACCTTTTTCTCTGACAGCTGGTCTTCCAGAACTGGTTCTGGGGTCATCACGTGACGGAGACAGCGCGACACGTGCGTCTGAATTCTACCACACGAAAAACTTAGAAAAAAAATATACTCTTGTAATTTCTAAAAATTTAATATTTAACATTGTAATTGAAGACTTCTACGATATTTTACGTGCTTCAAATTTAAGAAGAAAGAAGGAAATGAAGTAGAAAATGACGTATGATAAATATAGGTTACGTAAATAATCTTGTCATCCTTAAGTACAAACTCGTTTGAATATTTGAAATATATATTTTTATATGGGAATATTCCAAAATTTGAAACTGTAACAGGTTACCGCTATAAATCTGCAGTATTTGTAGAGTTGTAGCCGTTTTTATGTTCGGTAGATAGAAAACTAAAACCCCAAATGGGTAGGATACGATAAGATTAGGCAGGTGGCAATTTACTACTATGTGACCTGAAACTTTTATAGACGTTAAATATACTTTTATATAATTGTAATCTTCGATGAATGATCATATTAACTTTAAATATAATTATTTTTCAAGAGGGAAAAAACCTATAAAATGGGGAAATACCTGATGATTTGTCAGAAAGTTAAAAAAGAAAAAAAAAAAAAAAAACATTATAAATGCTGATATATTAATCTGTTGAAGGAATATTTTAAGTGGTTAAAGTCAGTTAATATAATCAAGAATTGATAGACCTTTATGAAAACGAACTTCCTCGAATAATATTGATTTATTTTTAAAAAGATTAAGTATGCTTTAACGTATACTTTTCTGAAAATATCTGTTAAAAATCATCTGCAATGAGAGAACCACAGGTGTGACACGTCTAAAATTGCAAACTGATCAAATTGCAGATGAGATATGACTAAATCCATAAGTGGACGATCTAAAAAGTTCGTGTAAGATAAAAAAAAAATTTAAGATATATAATTTAAAGGTGCGACTAATCGATCTCTTATTCCATATAATATATATCAAGTTACATATGGATCATCACGTAATACAGTTATTTCTTTACTTGAAAATGGCGCATCTTTTACTATAATTGGGATTTTGGCTTAGGGTCAGGTCTCTGTTTAGTTTCAGTATAAAATTACTCGGTCACGAGCACAGACTAGTGACCAATCAAAAACGTGACCGCCTGTCACGTGACAGCCACAAAACGTGACGTCCCAGTTTCGAACGGTCAAAGAGTTCACAGATAGCCCGAGCAGATACAATGTAAATGCGAAGTTTGTATAAACACTCACTTAAAATTAATTACCGCCGAGGTTTTTACATGTTCAACACTGACAGCGTTATTCTGTGCCTCCCAGTCAAGAATGCCATTTCTTCCTTTTTTTTTTTTAAATACACACGTATAGATACACACAGGAAAAAGAAAAAAAAATGGAAAAAAATTGTCGTGTATATAATAGAAAATTTATAAGTATTTAAATATTTTTCACCGCCTCCCGTTCTCGTAAAATGTATATATATCTCCAACCTAGAAAAGTTGGAATTTGTTCTTTGGCCCACTCCACCTTTTCAGAAGGCGAAACTGCACTCCTCCCCCCTCCTACACTTCTAGTCTTTGGAAGGAGACCGGAAACCCCGCCCTTATTCTCGTACAACACGAGAGGACCACCCCTAATTCGTATATATTCCATGTCCTTGTTGTCTCGATAAGAAATCACTAATTAAGAGCCACTACGTAAGATGGACTGAAACACTGTGCCACACTCTCTTTAAAAAATCTCAAGTTTAACGCTAAAATAAGAAAAACTTTTATCAATAATTAAGTAAATAATTGATTAATTATTTACTTGATACATTACAAGTTTATAAAGTTTAATTAAAAATTTTATTGAATGGTTATTGCTCCGTTTCCTATCTTCTACTCCATCAAATTGGGCGTCTTGTTGCCTTTCCATTCTCTCTACCACTCGCTCGCCTACCTTAAGAAGATTTTAATGAATCAAGCTATTAGCTAGGTTGTAGTAGGTCTACTGATGAAAGAAAAATTAGTTATGTGTAAAGTTTGGTGAGATAATCAAAGACGAAAACAAACATCAAATACAAACCAAGCAGAAATAAAATGCAATTGAGATAAGGATAAAACATCTTTATAACGTGAAAAGATAATATTAATCTACTTATAATTTAATTTGATACTGATAATCAGCACAGGAAAGACTTTAATCTGGTTCAATATTAGATTAATTAGGAAATTTTAATAAAATTAATGATGATCTCGACTATTTCCTCTCGAAGTGAACATCGACATTTTCCAGATGTGCAGCCGTTAAAAGTAACGATCTATATTAAATAACTGCCTCGAAATCCGATTAATTATAAATTGTAATAATTGTATAAATAAAATAATTAATTTTTCTTTGTTTCTAAACACGACGAAAAGATTTTTATTTCAAATTTCATAAACTTCTTTTAATAAACGTTTACCTAAGTCATCCTATTAATCTGCGTGTCCTCTGGAGAGTTAGCAAATTAAGTTGTAAATTATTTTAGCAAATTTAAGCGATTTAACTGTTCAGTTTTAATGATAAAGGCCTAAGTATTGCATTATTTAATTGTAAATTTTTTCTTTTCAGGATTTTGCATTAAGTGGTTAGTTTTATGAGAGACAAAGTGGAGCAAGAGTCTACAACTAATGTTAATTGCGGATCTGATAAAAATTGTGCCGGATAAATTC